TTGCAAGCTTCAGATTGGCTGTCGCAACAAACTTGCAATCGGCTTGCAACTAATGTAGAACCGGCTTTATATTCAAGACAATTGTATAAAGTTCTTTAATACGATTGGTTTATACGTTTAGATCTATAAGGAAGCAAAAGCAAGAACCAATTGTATTGAAGAATTTTACAATATTTGCAAATTTGCTTTCTCGGCTGAACGCAGTCGATTACAACAGCCAATCCTGATAGCTCTTATTAGAACAGACACACACCACATCCATTTTCGACACTACGCTTTTATCGACAGTCCCGCAAAATAGATGTAGAATCGAGTTTCCATATCACAAAAATGAACGTTGATGGGCTGAGACTTATATGAAAAACGTTGAGATGACCGTTCTCAGATTTTTCTCTGACCTAAGACGTAAAGGAAATGTGCTGTGCTGACGCGGATGACTATCTCCTTGAAGGGTTGCTGAGAATATTGTTCTAGGTAAATAGCTTTGCGATTTGGCCACGTGTCTGACTGATATGAACCTGGAGAATTACCGGAAAAGTTCTAAGAAAAGGTTAACGACAGAGCTTAAGCCTTCGCATTTTTAGATACAATCTGATCTGCAGATCCATATCCTGAGGTATTTATCTTTTTTTGTTTCTTGTTCAGTTCTTTTGAGAGAGACACTGACGACGATTCTGATTACGCTATGATACGGCAAATAAAAATGGAACCGGAAGCGATATTTTCTGAGGATGATCTCATAGCACAACTGCAACAGGAAAGTTCTGATCTGGAGGTCGAGCCTAATTTCTCGTTGGAGAACTCCCTGAATGGAGATTATAATAACGAAGGTGTTATAATGCAGCACATGGACATTAGGGAGCCTTTGTCTGTGTTAAGGACTCTCTTACAGGAGAGGCTCTCTTTAGATTTAAGAAATTATTCATTTTGGTTACAAAACGCACAGATGGTAAGTGACAAGCATAACACAGAATGTTCTAGATTCCTTACAATCTCGACAACCATTATTCGCTCTTAACATCACTTTAGTGAAATTTATAACACTGAGATAATGAGGTTATAATAGTTTTTAAATGTAAAGTGTTTTAAGGCTGACTAATTAAAATGTCCAATATTATGGAAATTTGTGCATGCAGATAGTGTATAGATATTTTTAAGCATTAATTTTGTTCTTGAAATTAATAATAATATACTTCTGTACACACATATGCTTTTACTGTTGTAAAATGTGTTTATGCCTTAATAAACTTGTGAATAATTTAAACGGTCACCTTTAAGTATCTTTCTTTTAGAAATTATTATAATCTCGATATATATTTTTGGTATTAAGAGAAATAATTTTGTTTTTGGACAAAACAAATCTTAGTGTTTAGTAATGCTAATATGTAAATTTTCGAGAATATATTTTTTCTATATATTTTTTTATAAGTACCAGTTTGGTTGATATTATGATTTTATTTTAAAATTAAAAACTCTGCCATTAACACAATTATCACGAGAGATCTAAAGTATGCTATATATTCTTAAGTTAATATTTCATTTATTGGATGACAAATTTTTCAAGTATGTTGATTGGCTACAAAATAAAGAGGTTCTCAAATCTCTAGAAATTATCTATCTTGTAACTAATCAACACAAACTTGACAAATTTATTGTATAACAAATGTAAGATTAGCTATATTTTATTTAGCCTGAAGTGTATTTTTTCTGCTTGTTACAATAGCTGGAAAGCCACAAGAATTTGGTTGATCAATGTGTCCAAGGAGAAGGACTGGTTCAGATTAATGTACAAATAAAGCCAATGCAGAAACGCATCAATATTGTAGACGTTCTTAAGCCAGCAGATGATTTTATTGAAATTGTAGAAAATTGTATGTATATATGCATATGCGCTTATTTTTTTGTCAAAATAATTTTACTTTAATAGATAATATTTTTGTTGACATAGTACCGGTGACTACTGCTCTGGAAAACAAATCAAATGTCATAAAGTGGATGATAGATGCGCAGTATAAAAAGGACCAGGTAATTAAAATGCTTTTAGTGTAAATTATTGTAATTAAAATATTTTCATATATTTATATGAAACATACGTATCTCGTGTGATTAATATTTTATTTTATAAACCAATATGTAAAACAAAATGTGATTTGCTTTATTCATGTACATTTGTTTTATATAGATTTTTGTGGTTTAAAAAATATATAGATTTAAATAATAAATTTTACATTTATACAAATTTTTTATCTTCAGTAACTGAATTCATTTGTGAAGTTATGGCCACATAAACTGTGAAACACATAAATTATTGATCTAAAAATGCAATTCTCGGAATTATGGAAATTTTGGAAGTTTAGATAATGCAACTTCTTTACTAATTGTATTGTATTTATACTTTGATTTTCGTGATTGATTTTTATGATTTGGAATCCTGCATTCTTAAATGTAGAGGGATATTTGTTATATTACAAGACAAGTTTTTTTTATTATTAATGTATTTTATTATTTTTTTAAATTACAAAATATTTTTTTGGGGAAAAAAGGAGCGATTGAAAATACCAAATGACCCAAGAGAATGGACGGAAACCCACGTGAAACATTGGCTGCAATGGGCTGTTAGACAATTCAATATACTATCATTACGTTTGGCTGATTGGAATATTACTGGAGAACAATTATGTAATCTTACAATGGAGGAATTTCATGCAAAAGTGCCTCTTGATCCAGGAGATGTGTTTTGGACACATTTCGAACTTCTTAGAAAATGCAAATTTGTTGGTATGTTTCTAAGAAATATAGCATTACACGGTTTAATAAAATGGTTGGATTTTATTTTATTATTTCTTTAACCAATTTTTTGCTGTTTGCTTGCAGCTGTTGTACAAAAAGATACACCGGACTTGTCCAATGAAAGTGTTGCAGAGAAGTCTATTAAAATACGAAGTCATCAGAAAGTAACAAAATCGAAGCCTACCGTAAACCAACAGACACGTGTAGTTAACGTACCGTTAGAAAATGTCGACCCGACTTCCATTACTATTGCCAGTTCTAGTCGAACCGTTAATAGCGGCCAGATACAGCTGTGGCAATTTTTATTAGAACTATTAACGGACAAAGAATATAGGAACGAGATTCAGTGGGTAGGGACCGAAGGAGAGTTCAAGCTTAATCAGCCAGAAGTAGTAGCGCAATTGTGGGGAGCTCGAAAAAATAAGCCGTCGATGAATTACGAGAAACTGAGCAGAGCGCTTCGGTATTATTACGATGGTGACATGATTTCTAAAGTTCATGGCAAGCGATTCGTTTACAAATTCGTTTGTGACTTAAAACAGTTATTAGGTTATTCAGCGGCAGAATTGAGTAAACTTGTCGAGCATGGAAAATTGAGTAAGCTTGTTGAGGAAGGGAGATATTTCTGATAAATCGTTTCAGGAGACACGATAGTGTCTCGGCGCGAGATATTGCCGTCGTGCTCGTTTTTTTCGATTATAATTAATAATAAAATAGCTTTTATTGCAAGCATCTCGTCTCACCACTATTATTTTACATTAAACATTATTTTAAATATTGTATCATTATTGTATATATGGGAAAAAGCTCTTCAGTATGTTACTATAATACATTACAGTAAAATCTCTTTCCAAGAAACAATCACTTTTGAGATAGTCTTTTATCGATTGGATATCATTACCGCGTTATATTTCTTCATTAGCTATGAATTTCTTTGCGCGTCTTTTGATTGAATTAAGTTGGTGACTTTGTGAGTATCATTATTTCATAAGCAAGCCATGAAAAGTTCAATTTACTAATATTTATGTAAAATAAATTTTCGGTATAAGTTAGAAGTGTATGATGATGATTATGTAATATCTCATTTTACATGGCGTTATGGATTTACATGCGGACTTTTACGAGGCATTTATCATTATATGTTTATATATGGATAATATTGTATGATACCTTCACATTCTTGTTAAAAAAACAAATATTCGAGGTTTGATTTTGACTACGACCAAGAACTCAAGGTAATGTATTATAAAGTTTTCACGTTAGATATATTGTCCCGTCGATTTAAAAGAAGCTTGTATATAACAGGAAAAACAGTTGTATGACAAAGTTGTTACATGTATTTAGTCGATATTGATATATTTTTTTATTATTTAGATTAACGTTAATATGTAAAATTCTAAGGCCATCAAAAAATGTAAGTGTTTTATAAAATGTGCTTCGATAAAAGACGTGATAAAAACGAAGACGATATTGTAATCTAAAATTTTCGAATAAACGACGCGCTTTGTAAAGAGCTATGTAATGATACATCTTTTTTGCATGATTCTGCCGGTATCACGCGGGTAGTATATTCCTCGTTTGATTCTTATGCAGGTTGAAAATGAAACTAAATTTAAGCTTTCGTTAACGTATTTAATAATTTTTGTGATCGATG